GGGCTCAGCCTGGCCCGCACCCTCTCGCAGTCTGGGATCCCTCGGAAGATGTCCACCTGCCGGCTTAGGCCAGCTCCGCTGCCACGGAGGTGGGAGGGGCTCCCGCCACCACCGATGCACTCGCCAGCCTTAAGCTGGCTTCCGGTAGAGCAGTGCTCCAGGGGGAGCACCCTGACCACCAGGGGGCAGCTCCTGCATTGAGCATCTCCCCCCTGGTGGTCAGTGCACATCATAGCAACTGGTCATTCCACCATTCGGTCTATTTGCATATCACCCTTTTATTATATAGGAATGTGTCATTTATTTTTATGTTTTAATACTAACTTAGTCAATCGTCACTATAAACTTCTGGAGTAGGGACCACTGTCATCCCCATCTCACAGAAGAAATACTGAGGCAGCGGTAACACGACTGGTCCAAGCTCAAACAAATAGTAAGGAGTGAGTCCAGGATTCAAGCCCAGGTCCTGGGCTCCTAGTGACCAGGCAATGCTGCCTCTGCTAGAAACGAAGGGAGCTAGACAAGCCCCAAGGTGTCCTGTTCAGAAACACAGTGCTCCTGCCCTGGCTGATGGGGCTCAGCTGGCTGAGCATCATCCTATGTACCAAAGGATCGCTAATTTGATTCAATTCTCAGTCAGGGCACATGCTTGGGTTTCCAACTCAGGGCGTGTGCAGGAGGCAGCTGATCGATGTTAGCCTCTCACATCAATAATATTTCTCTACCTCTCCCTTCCTCGCTCTCTAAAATCAATAAAAATATGTTTTTAAAAAGAAAGAAAGAAAAAACCACAATGCTTCTCCTAATCTTGGGGGTCAGGTCCACTTTCAGAAACATCTACCTCTGCTCTCAGTTCTGCGGTTGGTCAGGCCAGAGGAAGGCGGGGGAAGGGCTCCCAAGTCAGCATTCCAATGAAACCCTTCTGAAGGCTCAGGGAGTTGCTTTGAATTTGAGACAACCCACCCGGGGACCCACACTCAGAGGAGGCTCGACAAACCTTCAGTGGGAAACAGCCCAACTCAACCAGCACGGAGGCCACCCCTCCCCCGCCCCCGGCCACCCCCACAGCTGGCCCTTCCATAGGGCTCGGGGCAGCCAGCACCACCCCAAGTTCAGAGGCTATGGTCCAGCTCACTGGGCAGATAAAATGGGGCCTCAGAATGCCCCCTGGGCTCCAGGGAGAAGGGAGCCATTCCTGTCCACTCCCTCCCTTGGCGACTGCAGATTGGAATCTCCGAAAATGGTTTTCACAACTCAGTTAGCGGCAATCAATTATTCACGACCTCGCTTCCCACAAACTCATGGGCTGTCACTGTTAGCAAGATAATTTCTGGACTCGGCCCAACAGTCCTGCTCTAAGCTGCCAAGGGACCCACTGTTTATTTCCTCCCTTCCCTAAAGACCCCCAGAGCCGGCCAACCACTACCCACCACCACTCTGGGCGGAGAGATGGGTGGGGAAGGGCCCTCAGGGCCCAGGGCCTGGAGAGGCTGCCCCCAGCCTGTGTGACTCACATCAGCCTTTGGGGCAGAACGTCTGACCTCAGTTTAATCCAACTGGAAAATAGGGCTCAAGAATTCCAGACGCTCTGCCAGGCTCTGGGATAAATCCCACGTTATTTTATAAAATGCTTTGGGCTCCGAAAACATTGTGCTCTGTAAAAGCACGACTTGTGAGGGTCTCCCAGACATGCTGTCACCCTGCCAAGTTCATGGTCAAGAACGTTTACTACTTGGCAGGAGCTTATGAGACAATGAGACCACCATGAGCAGTTTTCCTCCGAAAACCTTGAGGCTGTCTTCAGGAGAACATTCCCACATCCTGGGAAGAAGGAGAGAGATGCTATCTGACACCCTTGGAAAAAACCTTCGGGCATATGATGGTATCAGAAACATCTGGTGGTTGAGCACTAGCCCTGCTGCTTCAACAAGCATCACCTTCTATGCAAGCTACTTTTTCTCTCTCCAAACCTCAGTTTCCACATCTGTAAAATGGAAGAGTAATAGTGCCTACCCCCCTAGGGCTACGGTAAGGATTAAATAAAACGGCACATCTGAAAACACTCAGCACTTTGCCTGGCACATCACAGATAGTGTGTCCTCTTTACTTAAATCTAAGATGCTGTCACTACCGAGATGCAACACTGATTAAATAACAGTTTTAGGGCAACAGGGTATGTTAGGAAATGTCAGAAAAATGTATACATCATTTATAAAATTCATCCCAGATATCAGAAATACTATCTACTAAATATAAAAAATATGCATCTTAAAGTGAAGTCAATTATTATTATCATTATTACAATCACTATATTAATCTTAGGTGAGGAAGCAGGCACAGAGAGGTTATGTGACTGACTTAAAGCCACAGACTCACTCAAAAGTGAGCTGGGATAGGATCCAGTCCCCACACCACTCCAGTGGAAGGAAGGAGAGAAGGAGGTAGAGTCAGCCAGGCAACTCCCCTCCTCTAATTCCTCCCTCTCCTCCTTCTCCTCCTCCTCCTCTGCTTCACCAGATTTAAGGTAATAATAATAAACACTGTATGATAATTGATATGTGTCGGGGAGCTGTTCTAAATGAACTACTCATTCCTCCCAACAACCCTCTGAAGTAGATACCATTATCCTCCCCATTGGCAGATGAAGAAACTGAGGCAGAGAGCCTGCCTAAGCTGTCTAAACTCACATAGCCGGTGACAGAGCCAGGATTTGAACTCAGGCTCTGAGCTCATGTGCTCACCTATTCCATTGTAGTGCACCCTCCACTGAGACAAACAGGGACATCTGGGGGAACAAGAGAGGAGTGGCATAGAAAGGTCATGCCATGTCCCTGCGCACTCTCTCTCTCTCTCTCACACACATACACACACACACACACACACACACACACACACACACACACACACACACACACACACACACACAGGGAACAGTTCCACTAAACCTGGAGGGTACATCATCATCTTCCTAGAGTGAGGCCAAGTTCATGCCTCTCCTCTGAACCCTCCTCCTGCATCGGCAGTGGGATGGCCGAGCGTGCCCATGGAGGATGGGTCAAGTCTGCTGCCCCATCCTGAGTGAAGGCTCTGACCGCCGGAGCCAGCCTCTCAACCCCGCCCCCTCTGTGGGCATGGAGAATAGAAGACCCCAAAGAGGGCAGAAGCCAACTGAACACCTGCCGCAGAGGCCTCCCAGACAGGCAGCAGGTGGGACAGGTGCCCTTCAATTCTCAATCACATCAAGAGGACTGAGCATGAGGGAACATGTCGGTTAAGGGCATGGGCTCCATGCCAGCCTGCCTGGGTTAGAATGGCCCTTACCTGCTGTGCAGACGGGAAATAATTACTTCCCCTCTCTGTGCCCTACTTCCTCTATCCACAAAATAGTGACTTCAACAATGCACACATCACAGGGTGTTAAAAGCATTAAACGTAAAATGTTTGGCACATGCTAAGAGCTCAATAAATGGAAGCTGCTACTGTTTGCTATTCTTTAATTATTATTTTCTATATCATCATCAACATCCTCATACAGGCCTCTGCATCAGGTACTAAGAACACAAAGTGAACTTGAAGGTGCTGTCAGGATGGCTGGGGAGCTGACAAGAAACCATATAACACATGATCCTACGTTCTAGAAATGTCATTGGCGTTTGGATCTTAATATGTCACTTTAAAGTGGAGATCCAGCCTGGCATGTGTGGCCCAGTGGTTGAGTGTCAACCCATGAACCAGGAGGTCACGGTTCAATTTCTGGTCAGGACACATGCCCGTATTGTGGGCTCAATCCCCAGTGTGGGGTGTACTTGAGGCAGCCAATCGATGATGTTTCTCTTTCATCAATGTTTCTATCTCTCTAACCCTCTCCCTTCCTCTCTCCCTAAAAGTCAATAAAAACATTTTTAAAGTGGGGATCCAAAGCTCTTGCTCTTTGAGCATTTCTTCAGCTGATCATTCAATTTCTGAAGGAATCAGAAACATGTACTGAGCAACTGCTATGTGCCATTCACTGCCCCAGTATTGGGGATACCAGAGTGAGTGGGCCAGAGAGCAGCTATGATGCCAATGGGAATGCCAATAAGCTTGTAAGGGATTGTCGAAAGGAAGGTAGGTTGGCGGGGGGTGGGGGTGGAGATAAGGCCCCTTTCTGCACAGGGCCACACCACTACAGCCACCGGTAGACACAGAGTAGAGGGTAAGGATCCTAGCAACTCCCTCTGCTGGGTGCGGGTGACAGCTGGGAGGAGGAAAGACATGCAACTAGGACACAGGAAACCGTAAGAGACCTACCACTGCAGAGCATAGGGACCTAGTCATCCCTTAGTTCACTGTAAAGGTGGGAAGACAGAAGCCAGGAGAGGCTACCCACAGCCACGCCAAGTGACATGCTGAACAAGGACTGGTCCCTGGGTGTCCCAGTTCCTGGAAGTCCAGATCTCTTCCCCCTGCTTTGAAAGTGTAAGCCATCCCAGCCCAGCAGAGCCCTCCCCTACAGACAGACATAGCCACCAGTCCACTCCCTATGCCATTTCTCTAGGTTGATGCTCCCAGGCTGGGGTTGGTGCAAGACACCACCATCAAACGCAGGCCTTGAGAATGGCACACAGAACAGGCGGGTTTTGATATGGAGATGAGAGAAGAGAAAAAAGCCCTGAGTTGGGGACAACATTCTGGAGGGGGCAGGGACGTGAAAGGGCCCTGCCGAGACTGGAGTGTTTTCTATTGGAGCCGGGCTGGCAGTAAAGGCAGAGCAGCTCTGAAAAGAGTAGGAGACAGAAGGGTTCTGTACAACCAACAGGAAACTTTTTTCATTTGATGGGAGCCCACCTCCAAATCACTAAATCAGTCCATGATTTTGGTTTTGGGAAAACGGGAATGATGTATCCACTAACAGGGCTGCAGGGAACCTTA